TATAATTAGTCACCTACAGTCACAATCAGCCGTACACACTACAGCTTTCTACAGGGAGCAGAGAGCACAAAGCTACAGCCACACAAGTGTTTGTGAAGACATACAGCTAAAGGAAAACTATGACGAGGGTCAGTCGTCAAACTCTGATAACATGTAAGTAAACATCAAAACAGGCTCCTTTCTGATTTACCTAGATCTGTTTTTCAAGTAAAGGTCTTTAGTAAGTGACTGAAGAGCCATGTGAACTATCATGTTTATTGTTAGAATTTTTTAGATTATAAGTGCAGAAATTACTCCCTTTAGTAGCTGATCTGTAAATTATTTGAACTGAAGGTTCTTTCGTGAAATCAGTCTTTACAGTGTCTTTAAAAACTGCCTCTTTTCACTGGTTCAAATAGCTTGTTAGAAGTGAACTTTCAGTGTAAGAAGGTTAAACTCAGACCTGCTAGAAGTTACACAACACAATGCTTTTTCAGTGTTTGATTTGTTAAGGAAGTAAATGACACATCTCTACCGGTCTAAACTGAGTGATGATGACATGTGGTGCTAAAGCTCTCAGACAGGAAATGTGTTGTTGTTTTTTTCTTTTTTTTTTTGACTCGACACTATTTTGAAACCGTTGGGTTGGATCTTTATCACAAAGTACTGCATCATCACTTTAATGTTTCTTTCTCCCACTGGTGATAAGTAGATAGTTTATATTCGTTAGATTCTCTTTTTTAAATTAAACTTTTAAAATTGTGATCAAACAACTATAATAGAAGGAGGAAAGAAATAATACATTCGTCATACTAGATCCCTGCTCTGACTTCCTTTACGTTGAGAGAAACACTGATGGCAAGACTGTGTCTGTGATGAAATATGTACTACACAGACTGTAAACGCTCAGCCTTTCTGGTCTTTTATTCATGTTAAATTTCAAATCAAAAGATGGGGGAGCTTTTTTTTCATGGTTCCGCCAGATAAATTATCATGACTAACCATGACCAACTACATTCTGATTACACAATGGTAGTGGTCGAAGAGGTATGAAATATACAGTCCCGGTCAAAAGTTTAAGATCATATTTTGCATGGTTGGATTTTAACAAGGTTCCAAGTAGAGCTTCAACATGCAACAAGAAGAAATAGGAATGAGACAAAACATTTTTTGAGCATGCAATTTATTGAAAACAACGCTTAAATCGAAACAGTCTGTTTTACAGCTGATCAATAGTTTAGGACCACATCCCTTTAAAAGGCCAAATCTGTGCAAAAATGTGGATTCATTGTCATTTTCTGTCAGATAGTCACACTGTCATAATGTACTGATGGCAAAGGCAAAAAAACTTTCCCTTTTTAGAATGTGGTGTTATTGTTGAACTGCATAATCCCTGCTGAGGTGGGACGCAATAAGAAAGTCATTTGGGACTTCTTAAATGATCCCGAGGCTTATGGAACAAAAAAGTGAAGTGGAAGACCCCAAAAAATTTCACTAGCACTGAGCCGGAGGATCCAACTGGCTGTCTGTCAAGACACTGGATGATCCCCAAACCAAATTAAGGCAGTTACTGGTGTAGACTGCAGCCCCATAACCATCAGACGGCATCTGAGACTGAAGGGCTTCAAAAACAAAAAACGTCTACAAAGGCCTCGTCTCCTTGAACGCCACAGAACCGATCATTTAGACTTTGCAAGAGTGCACCAAACATGGGACAATGAAAGATGGCAGAAAGTTTTATTCTCTGATGAGAAAAATTTAACCTTCATGGTCCTGATGGTTTCCAGTGTTACTGGCAAGACAAGCAGATCCCACCTGAGATGTTTTCTACATGCCACAACAGAGCTTCAGGAGGTGCAGGGGCATCAAACGGCTGCTGGCTATGTCCAAATGTTGCAGAGAGCATTCCTCATGACTGATGGCCCTCATCTGTGCAGTAACGACTGGATTTTTCAACAGGACAGCACTACAGTACACAGAACAAGGGACTATATCCAGGAGAATAACATTGCTCTTTTGGACCATCCTGCATGTTTCCCTGATCTAAATCCAATTGAGAACCTTTGGAGATAACGGGGTTTTTTTTAGGTGTGGTCCTAAACTTTTGATCAGCTGTAAAACAGACTGTTTTGGTTTAAGCGTTGTATTCAATAAATTGCATGCTCAGAAAAATATTTTGTCTCACTACCATCTCTTCTTCTTGCATGTTGAGGCTCTATATGGAACCTTGTTGAGATCCAACCATGCAAAGTATGATTTTCATTTTTCAAGTGGTCTTAAACTTTTGATGGGGACTGTATATATAAAAGCTGGAGTTGTGCAAAATTAATTGACTTCAATCCGACTAAGCAAGTGAGATACTGTTCATACCTAAGGGACATTAGAACTACCTTAAATTAAAAAAAGTGCAGTCTGACAGTTTTACAACCAGTTTTAGCCTACAGGACATTAGAAAGAATGTAAGGTCTTCCCCCTTTAGCTTCAGACCTGGAGGCCTAAATTCATCTTTTATATGTAGTTAATGGGTTTATTGTATAATTAATATCGTTTAGTGCATGCAAACTCACCGGCTTTAGTCCTTGAAAACAGCTCAGTGTTGTATTTGCCAAAACACCCAAACTGTTTCACAAAAAGATCAATACTTTCAGTAATAGATGCTTTCAACTTCTCTCAAATTTTCCAAGAGGTCACCAAAGATGAAGCTACACATTTGATTTGTCACTGATGTTACACCAGATCCCCTTCCTGATGTAACCCTACTATATAGCCAGGGTTGGGACCAGTACTGTTAGTATGAGCCTGTAAACAAATAAAAACAGCTTCCAAAATGTACCTTTAATTGGCAGGAGTTCAATAAACTCCAAATAAAGCTGCACACTATATTTTTTTAACTAAATATCAGTCAGAGAAGTAAATAAAATCAATAACCTATAAAACTATATACAACCTAAATCAGATTGCATGAATTCCAAAAGCAGAAGACTTTCCAGGAAGCACACACTTTGCAAATTTAAATGTTAGAGATCCTGCAACTGGCGTTTGGGCTGTGCAGGAAGATGATTGAATAAAAAGAAATATAAATGTTTTAACACACTATGAGTTGGTTTTCTCTGTTTTTCTCTGTTGGGGACAAAAGAATCGGGGTTAATACTACCTAACTCTAATTTCTATTTGGAAATTCATTTAACGCCAAGAACTTTCAGTGTGACACTCTACTTATCAGCTAAAACATTCTCAGTCCTACCTGGTACATATGGAAGGGGTCCACGTTACTATCGATTTGTAAAGCTCCGAAATACTAGTTTACCATCATTTTAAGAGAGAAAAGAAAGGACAGGAAAATTCCAAAGTTTACATTCGGAAGCAGGAGGAATGTCATATATCACATTCTCACCACCTTACAAAAATCTCCTGTCTTGAATTGCAGGTCTGCTGTTATTCTGTGCAGTAACAAAACAGATAGTAGCCTCCACAACACCACCTTCAACTTCTGCAAGCCTTACCGAGACATCAACTGCAGGTGTCACTGAAAACACCAGCACCACTGACATCAACCAAAGCACCAACACAGCCATTACTCCCACAAGCACCACCCAAACATACAGCACCACTGACCTCGCCCAAAGCACCAGCACAGCCATTACTCCCACAAGCGCCACCCAAACAAACAGCACCACTGACATCGCCCAAAGCACCAGC